TTGAACCATAAAAGAATTAAAGCTTATATTCATTATCTTCTAGTGTTAAATATGTTTTGTAGGATAGTCAGAAAACTTTGTAGGGTAAATACGGCAACTCTCATTTAATCGGTTAGTCGAACCACCGAAATGCATCCCTTCTCGCCATTCTACGTGTATTTACTGTGTATGACAACAAAGGTTTTAGAAAATCCTTCATTTCAGCCACAAATCATTGCAGTATCTGAGAATCATTCAGAGTTAAGACTCGGAGAAATCACGAAATTGTATGAAGAGCAAAGACCACAAGGACAGGGGATTTCACCCACGGTCACAGAGTTTTGCATGAGTAGAGACAAGCGTTCATCCAACACTGAAAGGTCTTTAGTGGGAAATAGTCAAACTAAGCAATCAGTGTCTTATGGGGAAGTGAGGGGCTGCCACGGGCAGGGAAAGTCATAAATCGGGGTCTGATGGTGAGAAGTGAGGGTATTCGTTCGGCTTCTGTGGACTGCACACACCTGTGCTATCGCAATTAACTATTTCCACAGTTATTTTTCCATGTCTCTAATTACTCCTTCAATACTTGTTTTCTGTCCTTAGGAATCACAGTGAAGCTTCAAGTCACTGTGCTTTGGAAAACTTAAAGCCTGAGATGTACTGAGGAGTTCCCACTCTCTGCCACGGTCCCCATCCTACTCCATCCTGCCACCACCACTCAGCTTCTGGGGGTAAGGTTACTCAGGCTGTCAGCTGGTCTTCACGGCACCCTCCTTACCCTACGCCCCAAAGATATAAAGCACCACACAGTCACTGCCCTCAGGGAGATCATAATCAAGGTTAGAGGTCTCAGGGGATGTTAGTGTCTTGAAAATGTTTGCAGATTTTCACGTGTGAGTGTGCATATCTTTGAGGAGAGAGTCAAGGAAATATCAGATTCTTAGAGGGGTCCATGATTCAGAAGAGGTTAAGATTAATAGATCCAATGGGAGAGACAAGACTGATTTACAGAGTCTGCCACATAAGAACAGCAGTATATAATACAACTTGTCGGGTCAGGCCGGGTCAGAGCCACCAGGGACAGCTTCCAGACTGAGAGTGGGGTTTTTAGGTGAAGGGTGGAAAATGTCTGCACAGATAGACAGGAGAGGGCAGTGGACTGGAGAGCAGGCTGTTCAGTGGAACACCTGGAATGCTCTGTGTGCCGGCTCCTTACTACCCGTGCTCTCTATTAACCCTACAGCCAGCTAGTGAGGTGAGATTCGCATACTACACGTGAAAACAGATTCAGGGAGGCTGACTCGTACCCAGGGAGGGAGTCGCGGCAGCCACCTTTGTTCTCCCCTCCCTCAACCCACTGCCCTACAGGAACGAAAGAATGACAGAGAACGGGGCACACACAGCTGGGTGGGAGAGGGAACGTCCTCATTGAAGGAGAAGAGCGGGGCTTGTGGTGTGGACGGCGAGTTCCTGTCGGGCTAGGCTTCAGTGAGCACTGACCGTGCACTAGCCACAGTGCTCAACTCCTCCTCCCTCTAACCCTGCACTGGGGGCCCTTAGCACCCCCATTTTGCACTCAGAGAGCCTGAAGCTCTAAGCGATATGTCAAGGCTGGACAATGTGGGGCTGAATTGGAATGAGTTGAAACTCAAATCTGCTTGAATTTCAACCAGACTGCACTCGAGAAATATTGGAGAAAACTAACACTTTTTAAGTGTTCAGTATGTCTGGCACTCTGCCGGTCACTTCATGGACATCATCTCATTTAGTCCTCACTGAAACCTTATGAAGGCAATGTAATGATTGTCTCTGCTGTTTCACAGCAGAGAAGTAAAGTCACAGGTAGACTGAAGCTTAGGAAGGCTTAGTAACCAGTTCAACCTGCAGAGTTTGGTTGGGCTGGAATCTGACCGACGTCCTGAACTCAGATCTCCAATGGTGCAGTATAGTGTGCCAAGCCAGGGATTCTGGGAGTGGAGGCGGCAAGGCTTCTCTGACCTGCTCTTCTCCACCATGCTCCTTCCCTCTCCTCAGCCATGCTCCTCATCTCTCCCCCTCTGTGCTCCTTCCCCTCTCCCCCTCTGTGCTCCTTCCCCTCTCCTCTGCTGTGCTCC